GATTATCTGCAAATAAGATTGCTACCATTGCTTTATTTCTGAGTTCCTGGGTGTGTATTATAGTTTTCTATATTTTTACACTCAACCTATAGATTTCTTTATGAGTTAAATTTGCTTATTGTATATGGAATATTTTGAATTTTGTTTTTTATCCCCCTCTGTAAATCTATTTCTTTGAATTGGTGATTTGAGCCCATGTACATTAATGGTTAATATTGAACAGTATTGTCTTATGTTTGTGATGTTATTTTCCTGCTTTTCATTATCTACTTTTCTACTGTGTTTAACTGTTTGTCCCCGGGGACTTAAAGTTTAACATATCAATACTTAATGAACAATACCTGTTCCATGTCATGCCTAAAATGTTTGATATTTAGACAGATAGTGAGATTAAGCTCAACAGCCTAAATTGTATTGTAATAACAATAAGCTTCTCTTCTGGAGGGTTAACAACCTAACTTTCCAGATCAAAAATTAGAGAAAAAAGAGGGCCATGAGGAAATCTACAATTTGGCCCTAGTCTTCCAAGGTCAATTAAGACTCAGGACATTTGAGAACATGCACTGTAACATCATGTAACTCAGTTGTGTCCCAAATTTTCTGATCAAGAAGGTCATGGTGCCAAAGAGGAAAGTGAACGATAATGTAGAGTGTGCCTAAGGACAGTCACAAGGAGAGAAAACATTCTCTCAGGCTTTCACAGAGATCAAAATGTCAAGTAATGGCTGTGACCCATCCACATGGCTGACACTGACAAAGGATCTACAAACTGAGGTACAGGGTCTCAGGATAAGTCCTGAGGGGATTTGACTGACCCTATCATATACAAAAGCTACAATTCTTGTTACATAGGTCTTGTTTTATCTTGGTTTTAACCATCCAGTAGAAAAGTATAAAAACAAAGTATAAGAAGTAAAGCCATGGTGTTATATTGAGCTGTTGGAGACTCAGGTCAACAACTTCTGACATTGCCAGTCATGTGGAAGACCCAATACTATTATGGACTACTGGATTATTTTGGAATATTTTGCTGAGTTCACACACCTATAATATTTAAAAGATAGTACTAAACAAAGGAAGGGGATATAGATGGATGTCCATTTTGTATCTGTATTCAAAACGGTTAGGATAGATATATAGCTACATTCTCTTCATTCAATGAACAGATTTGTTCTAATAGTGTTTGTAAATAGGACATCATGTCTGCATCTTGTAGAACAAATAACCACTAGGAAGACAATTACGCAATGTGTTTATTATTGAAACCTTCCTACTGATTTGATTTGAAGTTGTCTCTTTGCTATTTGTTTCTCAATAAAATTATAGAAGGGAAGAAAAAGAGGGTGGGAGAAAGCACAGCTAGAGCAGGAAAAAAGGTCCAGAGCCCAGCAATTTCAGAGCTGACTTTTGAGGTCTGTACAGTCCTATGGATAACCCACTACTATTACTTTACTATATTGGATTATTTTGCTGAATTCATGCATCTACAATCTTTAAATAGCAAAGGACTATCCATCTCTGAAAAAACTAAATGAAAACCTGGGACATAGACGAAGGTCCATTTTTAATCTGCATGTACAAATAGTTAGGATAGATGTACAGCTACTTTCTGTTAATTCAAAGAGAAGTAAGATTTGTACTAAGAGTGTTAGGACTGAATATATCTGTATCTTATTCTATGAATAACTACTATGAAGACAACAATAGGCAATCTATTAATTATTGTAACTGTCCTACTATCCTGTTTTGAAACTGTCTCATTACTATTTGTTCCTCAATAAAATTAATAAAAAATTGCCCTCTTTTGTGAGTTCATTAATTCTCATTCTCGGAGTTGTGGTTCTTTTGGTCCCTTTCTATAATATCCTTTATTATTCTCTGTGGGGTTGCTTTGGTGTCATGAATTTCTTTGTTTGTTCTTTGTTGTGTAAGAATTTCATTTGTCCCTTAAATTAGAAAGAGTTTTTCAGGGAATATCAGTGTGAGTTGGAATTTCTTTTCTTGTAGGTCTTGGAGTACTTTACTCTATGCTCTTCTTGACTGCATAGTTTGTGAGGAGAAATGTGCTATTATTCTGATGGATTTTCATTGAATGTGAAGTTTTTCTTTTCTGTAGAAGCTTTTAGTATTCTTTTATTATGCTAAATTTCTCGTATCTTGATTTTTAAATGCCTGGGTGTGGTTCAAATTGTGGTGATATTACTTGGGGCTTTGTATGCCTCGGTTACCTGAATGTCTGATTGTTTTCCCACATTTAGGAAATTGTCTGCTATTACTTCTGCCCATATTCTTTTTCTATCACTGTGTTGACTCCTTATTTCTCACTGATGCCTATTGGCCTATGTTGTTCTTCTTTGCATCAACTTGCAGCTTTTAAATTATTATTTCCTGGATCCAAGTTGTTTTTATGAGATATATCCTTTGCTTTTCTTTAGTTGCTACATTGTCCTTCAGGTCTGAAAGTCTATCTTCCCTTTCATTCGAATGCCTTTACAAACTTCTAATTGAGTTTTTATTGTCCTGAATATCTCTTTGAATCTGTTAAATGAATTCTATTTCTTTTCTGTATTGGTCATTGAAGATTTCCATCATTTTTGTATTCTCCTCTTTTTTTAATCAGTGTCTTCTTAGAAATTCTTTGTACTTCTTTCATTATAGTGATCATTTCTTGTTTTACTTGGGAGATTATTTCTGACTTGACTTCCTCTGAAGCCTTCTGCAGTTGTTTCTTTACTTTAGATGCTATTATTTGAGATATGTCAGGTGTGTGACTTCCAATGTATTCCATGCTATTGTCTCTCGGATTGTTCTGTGTGTACTTGGGGCCTGAAAACGCAGATTGCTTCATCATTTGCTCATTTTATATTTAATAGAGATCTCTTCATTTTTATTTCTATGATACTTTTCTGTAAGGGTTTGTGAGTACTTACCTATATCACTGTGATCACAGCCTCTCTGCTGAAGCACCTTTTTGTGGGTATCTCTTTTGTGTCAAAGTTTCTTGCTTTGCATATATCCCAAAATTTTGCCATCTCTATTGTTTGAGATTCAGATAATGGTTTGTGATTGGCACTGTCCTCTGATCTTATTTGTATGGCTTTTGTGCTGTTATTACCCAAATACCTACCTATATTATTACCCAAGAGAGATCATGTGGTTAAGGCAGATATGGTTTTCTAATTACAGTACCATACTTAGCAATACTAGTAATAGACTGTGAGATTTAGCAATTGACAAACTTTTATAACAAATTGATTTTTATTTTAGACTGTAAAAGCAAACATTATGACTGTATAGATAAACATATACTAAATTAAGAATTTGTATTTAAATTATTTCTTCTAAGTTCCATTTGTTCACTACTTGATGTGCCTGGAGTCTTCCAGGCAGACTAATTTACTTCAGTTACCAGTCTCTCTCTCTCTCTCTCTCTCTCTCTCTCTCTCTCTCTCTCTCTCTCTCTCTCTCTCTCTCTCTCTCTCGCTCCCCCTCCCCTAGATCTGTGTCTAGCAATATGCCTCAGCTCACCAGGTCAAAATCTACCAAGTTCAAACTTTTCCACCTGGGCCTTGCTCTGGTCTGTCTGCTGTGCTGCGCTTCTTCCTGCTGTGCTCAGTGGCAGTGAACCTGCTGTGCCCCACTGGTAGTTGTTCTGCTCCTGGTTTAGCTCTCTGGGTCTCGCACCTGCCTCTCTGCAGGGAGTTCTGCCACAGAGTCCAACACTGGGCCTGTTTGTTGAAGAAGGCCAGTATCTTCAAAACTGTGGAATATATATCTTCCCAAAATGTACATTAATTTTTATAATTTAGTCTTACAAAAATCAATGCTTCCTTGTTTAATTAACAGATTCCCTATTACTAGCTTTCACATTTTAAGCCAAAAATTATTCCTATAAAATAAGTGAAGATTAAGTTCATATTGAGTCTCACTGTGCTGGTTATTTAGATTGTGACAAATACAAGATGGCAGGCACAGAACTACTGCAGCATTATTCAGAACAATCACCCTGTCCAGATACTCAGGGTGCAAACATTGCCTGTGCTTCTGTGCTCTTCAATACTATGAGTGATGGAAAACAGAGAAGCCAATTTCAGTTTGCTCTTCTGCTTTTGGGTGAGGGAAAAAGTGAAATAGTCCACACAGTCCCAGATTCTCATAGAAGCCTAAATACTGGAGTTACTCAAGAATGGAGGAGTAGAAATGCATTCTGAAAGCATACTAAATCATGGAATGAAGTATATCAAAGAATGAAGCAGCGGGATAGTAGGCTACATTATACAACTCAAAATGCCTTGTGTTTCTGCCCTGATGTTCAGTCACTAATTTGGGCTTCCTGGCTGTGGGGCAATTACTTGTACCACAAACAAAAGAGAACAGGTGTGGCTCTGCGTTTCACTTCCTGTGACTGGTACAGAGACTACACAGCTATACAGACAATGTCCTGTGGGCCTTTCAGGTGACAATTTCTGATCTTCCACTTTGGACGGCAGAATGCCCAATATTTTTTAGTGACCTTGAGAGATTCTCAACTATTTCAAAATAACCCTAACATTAAATCTTCTAGTGCAATCCATTAGTAGCACATCTAATGGCATATGTGCTAGCGGATTATTGCCAAAGACTTAAGAGCAAATCTGCCCAGGAGGAAGTGGTACCTCAGATGTTGCTGTCATTGGAACTGGATTAAGTCATGATGGCTTGAGTTGAAGAAAACAATATGCAAGCACAATTTCTGTCTTGTGTTTTTCTCCTTCTCACCAGACCTCAGATGTAGAGCCCAGGTGACAATGGTGGCAAACTTCTCTAGGGACATGGAGCAGACAATGTTGACAGCAGATGGGGCATCAGAGTGTCCACCTGAGTTTCAAACAATTTAATGCTGAAACACACAGTATATTTACTTACCTGGCTCAGACTGCACTTTCCCTCTTCCCTCAGCCCTATGATCTGCATGCATATCAAAGATGTTATCTTTGATTGTTATCTTCCTTCTCCTGCAGCTTCCAGCCTTATTGTGTACTTTTGATAGTGAAGCCTGCCTTCAAGGAAGGAGCACCAGTGTGCACAAGGATGGAGATGTGATAATTGGGTTTTTCTTGTCTATTTATGTCTACATGTACTATACTGGTATCCTTGATATGAAACCTACTAGAGAATTATATTTCATGCAGTAAGTGTATTGTTCTATTTTGCATTTTTTTTTACTGGATATCAGGAGAGATAACATCTAGCACCCATGGATCAATGGACCAATATTTTCCTAGTGCCACCTGTTCTAGCCATCCACATGGGCACAACAGGCTTTCCTGTTTACCTTGTCATTGTATAAATTTGCATGGGGGAGCGGAATACTGTTCTTATTTGTTCTGCTAGCTGCTTCTTCTCACTCTTGGAACCTTAGATGGACTCTACTCACCCTGTACTCCGTGGTGTGTTTCCTTCCTCAGACCTGGACTCCACTGTATGGCATTAGGTGATATTCCTCAACTCGAGTGAACTCCTTGAATTAAGCTTAATGCTAAGTGGTAATTGCCAAATTACCCATAATATTATAAACATCTTTCCTTTTCTCTATTTCTCTAACTGTAAAATTCTTTATAGTCTTACAGATAGCCTTCTGATATGTGTACCCCTTCTCCTTGCAGTAAATTTATCCTGTTATTGTTCCTTTATTGTTTCTAATGATATTTAGGATGATCCAGTACACCTGCCTCTGCAAGATGGGCCCAAAAGTAGGGATGCATCAGCTGTAAGGCTTTTCTCCACCACTGTGATATTTCCTCATTTGGATGCATCTTTCCTGATTGTACCTTATCAGGTCTGATGCCAAACATGTAGTTAAATAGTTTTCCAAATGTTGAGAAATTCTACAAAACTACTTTGTCACTGTAAGAAAGGGACATGCCAGCAGAACTGTGTTTGCTTGAAGGTTAGAGAACATGACCACTCATGGTGTTCTTGTGGCACCTGCACATAGGAAGGGTTAAAACTAAATATGGACAAATCAGCCTTGGTCCTAACACAGTGCCACTGCCTTTTTGAAAATATTGCACATGAGGAAGCTTGTTGGAAATCCTGATAAGTACAGAAACTCACCATTAGCCTGTGTAGCTCTCAATGTTTTCTCTTATCTGTCTAGAAGATGCACATGTTTGTTCCCACATGGACTTGACCAGTTCTTGGGGGCTACAAAATATAGGCTTCTGTTCATGAAGAAAGGTGAGATATGGTTATTTTGCCTCAACTTACATTTAATGGGGCTCACTGGTGAGAAGGCTTGGGGATCTCATTGATAGAGATGACACTGTACCCAGGTCTTTCCTAATCAGCACTCTGAAACACTATATGAAGTGGCTTCTCAGTTAATGAATTTGAATTTCAGGTGTGGAAGACCTTTTGAACTGATGATATAACTTTTACTGTGCTTTGTCTCTTCTATGTAATCATATATGTATTAGTTAATAATGTGTATAAATATTGCTTTACACTTGATTTAGAGTCTTTTGTTGTGAAACCAGGTCTTTACTTTACCCAGCTGTAACTGGTCACTTTAAGGCTTCAACTTATTTGGGACCATGGACAGCAGAGTAAGGAAACTGGGCTTTTTTTCTCCTATAAATATGGTCTCTACCTATATCATACTCCTGACAATGCCCAGATATTTGCTTGTATTTTTATTTCAACATGCATTCTTGATGCTCAATAGCTTTTAAGAAAGGGATACACTGTGGTGAATATGTTAGGAGCAATCTCTTGACCTCAAGTTTCCTCTGCTTCAGCTTCTTGAGAAGGTGGTATGAGAGGTACTTGTCATTAAACACTATGTGTTTTCCTTTTATTATTTTCTAAAATATGGGTTGCTACCCATGTGCTTAATATGAAAATTTGACTCTGGTCTTTGTTACCAAACGTTTACTTTAGTGAAAATTCAGAAATACTTTAGAGTATTTGATTCAGAGGAGCCTGCTCCAAATGTAAACCCTGGGAGAGGATCAATTACTTGTCACTTATTTAAAATTATGACAATGATTTTATTTCAGGAAATAAACCTCACTATATGAAATAAAATATGGTTTTTATGAGGAGGGGATTCTGAATGGTACATGGGTGAGCATGCTTTTAGAGCTCACTAGGAGCACTGGGAAAATCACGAGGGAGTTCAGCAAATCCCTCTGGAGAGGATCCTAAATGAGACAGCTGAGTGTAATCAGAAGGCATTTGACTACAGTGGGGAATGAGAAACTGACCAGGTATGAGGCATTATGAGATTTCAAGAATACTTCAAGGATGTAAGATCTGTTTCTATTCCTAGGAGGAGAGAATGAAATATCTGCTCTCCTATTGTCATCTGCTGTGCCCACATATGCCCAGATGATCAGGCTGCTGTTGCAGTGGGCCCTGCTCTAGACCCAGGCCCTGAGCTCTGTCTGTGGCTGGAAAGAATGTATTTGCACTTCTGAGTTTCTGTGCCCAGGCTGATGCAGCCACCAGGAACAAGAGTTTCGGAACCCAGGAGAGAATTTGGATTCCTGCTAAAATGAGAAAGAAAATTCATAGAAATTTTAGAAAACAAAAATGTTTATGCATAAGCAACTTATAGATTTTGCATCATCCTCATGAGAAAAGTCTAATTTTAATACTTTAAAGGATCATATTGCTCAGGTATAAAATTTCAACTTTCATAATATTTGTACTGTAGCCTTGATAGCATCGTGGCTTTTCTGCACATAAATAGAAGTTGCATTTCTCTCTTTTTGCTTTTTCTCAGCATAATATCCTTACATATTAATGTACATTAATGATAATTATTATGTCTATGGAATTCCTATCTTTTCAACTCATTATAGTTTATTTCTCACACTTTTAGGATGTTCCAAAATTTCTAATTATTTCTTACTGTCATTTAAGGAGGGAAATAGATGTGTGATGCTTAAGGAATGCCTTCTGCTTAAGGCTAACGGATGTTGAACAGCAGGGCTGGAGACATAGCTCAGGTGCATGGGCACCGGCCTGGCGAGTGTGAGGTGCTGAGATCAAGTCCCAGAACAAAAAACATACGGAAAAGGAATGCTGAGGTGTAAAATGATGGTGTTCAAAAATGCTGGTGTTCAAAACTATGATTTTCTATGTTTTGGGTTGGGATATAGCTCAGTAATATATATATATATATATATATATATATATATATATCTGAAACAAAATAAGTCTTTCGAGCATGCTTTCAAGTGAGTATTATTTCTTTAAGGTTTACGTTGGACAATTGGCCTAAGTTGATATTAAGCAAGTGGCATTGTGTTGATATGCAAGCATATCATTTATTAACATTTGGATTGATCATAATGTATGCATTATCTTAAGAATATTTTATTTGATGGCTTACCCTACATCAGTTTTCTGTCTTCCCAAAGGCTTTGCAGCTTGAAAAGATGTTTGGAATGTTAAGGGATAGGAAATATTGATGTCCATGCATTTACAGTATGATTGGTTTGGAACTAAGAATTGAACAATTCACACTTTCCAGGTAGGTGCTGTGCTGCTGCGTTACATCCCCGACCAAAAATTGATAATGATAGTTTTGGACACAAACATTTTATGCTCCAACATTCCCTTTCAGTTTGTGTTTGTTCCTGGAGTTGATCTGAGCATCTTACACTTACGCAGAGAGTGTTCCTTAAGCATCACACATTTATTTCCCTCCTTAAATGACAGTAAGAAATAATTAGAAATTTTGGAACATCATAAAAGTGTGAGAAATAAACTATAAGGAGTTGAAAAGATAGGAATTCCATAGACATAATAATTATCACTACTATATAGTATTATCTAAGGATGTTATGCTGAGAAAAAGCAAAAAGAGAGAAATGCAACTTCGTATTTATGTGCAGAAAAGCCGCGGTGCTATCAAGGCTACAGTACAAATATTATGACCGCTGAAATTTTATACTGAGCAATATGATCCTTTCAAGTATTAAAATTAGACTTTTCTTATGAGGATGATGCAAAATCTATAAGCTGCTTATGTATAAACATTTTTATTTTCTAAAAGTTCTATTAATTTTGTTTCTCTTTTTAGCAGGAATCCAAATTCTCTCCTTGGTTCCGAAACTCTTGTTCTTGGTGGCTGCATCAGCCTGTACACAGAAACTCAGAAGTGCAAATGCATTCTTTCCAGCCATAGACAGAGCTCAGGGCCTGGGTTTAGAGCAGGGCACACTGCAACAGCAGCCTGATCCTCTGGGCATATGTGGGGACAGCAGATGACAATAGGAGAGAAGATATTTCATTCTCTCCTCCTAGGAATAGATACAGATCTTACATCCTTGAAGTATTCTTGAAATCTCATAATGCCTCATACCTGGTCAGTTTCTCATTCCCCACTGTAGTCAGATGCCTTCTGTTTACACTGGGCTGTGTCATTAAGGATCCTCTCCAGAGGGATTTGCTGGACTCCCTCGTGATTTTCCCAGTGCTCCTAGTGAGCTCTAAAAACATACTCACCCATCCACCATTCAGAATCGCCTTCCTCATACAAACCACATTTTACTGCATATAGTGAGTTTTACTTCATGAAACAAAATCATTCTCATAATTTTTAATAAGTGACAAGTAATCAATCCTGTCATAAGGTTTAGATTTGGAGCAGAATTCTCTGAATCAAATACTCAAAATTAGTTCTGAATTGTCACTAAAATTAACACTTAGTAACAAAAACCCTGTTAAATTTGCATATTGAGCAATTGGTAACAACACTTATATATAGAATGTATTTTTTTTGTGACTAGTCTCACTACACAGCTCAGACTCATCGTGATCCTCCTGTTGTCAGCCTCCGCATTCCTAGAATTACAGACCTGGGCACCTAAGTTGGGAATACAGCTGGCTCAGGCCACCTTGAATGTGGTACTGTCCCAGCATGTGGTTCGAGCCCATGTCCCTGGGCTTGACTAAACTTGTCTACGCAGGTCCTTTAATCTCCTGAGCTATGTCACTGGCCCCATAAATATTTTTATATAAATCGTGCATACGTAGATCATGAGCTTCTTTGGTGGAGAAATAAAACCCATCATTTGCCTGTTTCTTTTTCCTATTTGCAATGCGTTTCATAATATTAACATTTGTATAATATTGAAAATATATTGTGGGCCAGCCAGATAGCTCAGAGGTTTACATTTACTTTGTAAGCAGACGCAAGGACTGGAGCTCCAGTTTCAGTTTGTTCTTCTGGGCCTGCCCCTGGGGTGCGCAGTGACAGAGACTGAGACCTGAGTTTGTGGTGCAGGCCTATAAGCCCAGCGTTTGTGAGGCTGAAAACATGAGGATCACTTCGAGTCCAATCTGTGTAATGAGACCATCTAGACCCTGTACAAAATACATAAAATAGAATATATCTGTGCTGCTCATTGCTCTTACATTTAAAAAAAATACTTAGTACCTAGGGAATATGTTTGTGATAAAGAGGTGCACTCACATAATTTCAGTTTTCACAAGAGTTTTATTCAATATGAGTAATTTTATATTTAGTGAATTTCTACACAAATTTTATTAAAGACAGATGATTGATAGAGGCAGATGATAGATGTTATTTTTTTGTAATTTGACCCATTGATGCATCTATATCTTTAGTTGTTTTTTCTCTAAATAACTTGCTTCTTTTAAATTCTGAAAACCTCAATTTTTAAAGATTTCAGAGCACTAGTGTAATATTTCCAATTGATATAAAAATTATGTCTTTTTTTCAGTAATGGTAATTTTGATAGAGTTTTTAAAATATTAACTTATGAAATACATCTTTGGCTTTTCTCTCTTTACAAGAATTTTAGGGATTTCAAAAATATCTAAGTTAGTTTGGTGGAAGCTTTTACTATAGTATGTATATTTCTCTCAGAGAACTTTCACTTGCCAATGCTATATTGGAAATCTTTGTTCTACTCTGTCTTATTTACTCTTCTCTCAATGCTGAGACAAATACTTGACACTCAAAATGAGGGAAGGAAAGGTTTATTTAGTTGACATTTACTGGAGGTTTCGAAGTTCAAAACAGACTGAATTACAAGACCTTATTTGCTCAGGAAGGAGGGTCAGCCTCTGTCTTCAACAAATATGTCCACTCTGCACAAGGCGGCTTCAATCACAGATACCTCCGCCCCACGCTACAGGATCTGGAGGAGAGGCTGGGGTGCTGCTCTGTCCAGCATGATGGGCTCTGCACCTCTAAGAGAGGCCAAAGACCTTCAGGGCCACAGTGCATGCTGCTAGTTTATGGGTTCATGCCTCTCTGGCCCCGCCCTTGACCCCTCCCTGGCCCTCTGGCCCGCCCCTTGACACCGCCCTGGCCACCTGGCCCCGCCCCTCAAATCACTGGCTGTTCCTTGAGCTGTGTCTGCCCTATGACTTACATGAGACTTTGGGGGAACAGCTAGACACAAACTATAACACTCTCTTTTACTTAGTTTTTGGTTGTTGCTCGTGCAAGAATTTTCTTTTTTTTTTTTTTTAAGAATTTTCTTTTTATAAGGGAATAATCTTATGCCTAATGAGAAAACAATGCCTGCTTCTCTCTTCAATTTTTTTCTGGTAACTTGCTGAATATTTATTATACAGCGTAGCAAATCCAGAACAACACTAAGTAATTCTGAAGTTAACAGAGAAATTTCATTCTGGCCACTTTTTCAATGAAAATGGCCTTGATATACAGCTTTTCTAAGAAGCTTCATTCCAAACCATTCAAAGGAGATTGCATTTTGGCAAAACTAGAGTCAGTTTTCTTTACAGAAATATCTCAGAAGTGGAGCAATCATCTCTGCCAAGAATCCTAGTAAGGAAGCTGAACTTGTATTCCTGCCCCACACCCATCTGCACTGTGATTCACTGCTGTATTCTTTTTGTTTTGTTTTGGATTTTTGATGCTGAGCTTTTAACACAGGACCTCGCACTTGCCAGGCCGGTGCTGAAACCTCTGATCTATCACCTCAGCCCCTCTGCTGTATTCATTATGCAAAATCTAAGTTTTGATCTGAAAAAGTTTCAGTTTGATTTTTAATTTTATCTTCAGTTAGCCAATAAAATTATATGTATTTTCATAGACTTGATGTTATGTGCTACAACACATTTGTATTAGCATATAGTTAAATTAAGTGGATGAATGTATCCTACACCACAGTATTTCCTCTCATGAATGAGAATAGAAAGCAATCTTGCTTGAGATGTATTTAAGTAATAATATTAAAGAAATATTTTTTGCTAAAAAAGCAATTAAACAGAAATGGGTACAAAGAAGACTGAATATTCTATGTACCTCAATAAATACATCATTTCTACTTGCAAGCAGTGATAATATTTAAAAATATCACAATTGCAAAGACCTATATTGTGTGATGCCATACAGAATATTCTTGTGAACATATACAGTAAGGTTAGTCTAACTGTAAAACAAATACAGTAATGAAGGAACTCCTCTGAGAATCTTGAAACACACCAAGTTCCTTCATGAAGATTCAGTGCCATCACTCATCTACTTCTTAGTATGTTATTAAAAGTCAGTGTTCCCACATCATCCTATACTCCATTTTAATTATACATGTGTGTAGAAAGAACACAAAAGGTAGTATATAAAAGGTATTAAACTAGACTGGAAGGAAAGACTGAGCCTTTCCCTAAGGACCTCTGCTCTCTGTGCAGGCTTACACCCAACAAATACCAGAACTACCTGGCCTTCACTTTTGCCATAGAAGAGATCAACAGGAATCCTCATCTTCTGCCCAACATTACTCTGGGCTATGAGTTCCACAATTTCATTTACAGTCATTGGAGGATACTAGAGAATTCCTTCATTTTGCTCACAGGACAACATGAGAACCCTAATTACTCATGTAGAAGAGAAAGCCAGTGCACAGCAGTACTGACAGAAATGCCATGGGGAACCTCAGCTCAGATTGGACCACTGCTGGAGCTCTACAGATTTCCACAGGTGAATGTTGTTCAGACAGGATTGATGGAACAGCATCATGGAGGTTCACCTACCTGGAACCTGGAGAGTTTAAAATGAGGCAAGGATGAGGCTCTTTGAATGTGCATAGTGTACTGGAGTCCATACACAGAGGCTTAGTGGCTTACACACAATTTCTTTTCTTTTCTTATCATAGAGGAAAGAAATGAGGACAGAAGTGTTTCCAGAGGTCTAAATACACTCATTAACTTTGTTAAAAATCTCCTGAGGGAAATGTGTAGAGGGAAGGGAAGAATGTGCATTTCTTACAATGTAGAGATGTCTCTCAGCACTCTTGGGGCTGCTATTGCGCTTTCCATCAACACTTCAGTGTATCACCCAGATTTCCTTGCCTTTTAGGTTACCTTCAGCTCATTTGATCCTACGCTGATGGACACTGGCCAGTGTCCTTCTCTTCATCAGATGGCCCCAAAAGACACATTTTTGGCCCTTGCCATGGTGTCCTTGATGCGTCATTTCCACTGGACCTGGGTGGGCCTGCTCATCACAGAAGGCCAGAAGGGTCTTCAGTTTCTCTCAAATGTAAGAGCTGAGATGGACAGGAATGGAGTCTGTGTGGCCTTTGTGAAAATGGTATCAACTGTGAGTGTATCTTATCTCTCAGCAGTAAAGAAACATGAAATCCTGACCACAGATACATCATCTGCCAATGTGGTGGTCATTTACTATGACACTGATAGCTCAAATGAGGTAAATTACCACATTGTTCAGAGCTTAGTGACGTGGAAAATCTGGGTGACAAACTCCCAATGGCATGCTGACCTGGCTGGGAGAGATTTCATACTGGATCCATTCCATGGGACCCTTGTTTTTTCACACCATCATGAAGAGATTGCAGGCTTCAAAACTTTTCTTCAGGAAGCTACCCCTTTCAAATACCCAGAAGACACTTACCTTGTTATGTACTGGTACAAGAATTTTGATTGCTTATTTTCTGAGTCAGACTGTGCCTTGAAGAACTGTACCCCTAATGCCTCTATGGCTTGGTTGCCTCCAAATCGTTTTGACACAGACATGAGTGATCGGAGCTATAATATATACAGTGCTGTGTATGCTGTATCCCATGCTTTCCATGCAATGCTTCTTGAAGAAGTACAAAGGCAACCTTTGAGAAATACACAAGTGATGACGTTCCACCCCTGGCAGGTAATGTCTTCCCTTGGATGGCAGGCAGTGTCATCAAGGTGCCTCTCTTAAGTTATTCTATGTGCTTCACCCTAGATATAAGAACTGTTTCTGGAAAATACTGACTTTGAGTGTTACACTTATTTTTGAGGAGATTGCTGAGGTGATTGTAAATGACCCTCGATCTAGTATCCATTGGCAAGGAGAAGGAAACAGGAGGCCAGCTCCTTGCTTCTCCCTTTTGGAGGTCAACTGCTTACCCACATTAAATTGTCCCATAATTTTCTTAAATGACCTTTTGAAAACATGTGGTCACTTGCCAAGTTAAATGACATTAAATGTGACAGTGCATAGAATTCAATTTCATCTAATTCTGCAAGCTCTTCAGATATTTATGAACTAATGTTTTGGTGAGTGCCATGGGAACAGTCAGGTGGAAAAGGGAAGTTGTGGTTTGAGAAGCTGTGAATTCGCAGCTGATATTTTCACTTAACCCAACTGTATACCTACTTTATATAAATGGGCTTACACAGAATATGCTTTTGTTTTCCTGAAACTGATTGATACTTGTAGACCAATGTGTCATTTTAGTATTAGACATTTATATTTTCCAAATTAATAGATACCTGTCTTAAAATTGTTTTTCAGAAAAAGAATTAAATACACTTAGGAACTTTCCCCCACCCATATTTTCTGTTTTTATCCTGGAGCCCTGTTTACATGGCATGATGTGTCTCTTTTAGTTGCATCCTTTTCTGAAGATTGTCCAATTCAACAATCCTATTGGAGACAAGGCGAACTTGGATTACAGAAGAAAAATGGATTCAGATTATGACATTCTCAATTTTTGGAATTTTCCAGATGGCCTGAGACTTAAGGTTAAACTGGGCACATTTTCTTCACATGCTCCCAATGGCCAAAAATTGATTTTGTCTGAGAATAATATAGACTGGGCCATTGGAGTCACAGAAGTACGTTGTTCCTAAGCATGATGTACTTACTTAACCACAAGTAAGCAATAAGCTGTCATAAGGTTCATGTCCCCAGGTTAGGTAATGCAATGGTCACATGTGGAAATTGAATAAGATTTCAATTTGAAGGAAAATTGTATATTAGCTTTCTGATGAATGGTAAAGAAATGCACTTACTTAGTTGTGTTTTTGTGAATGTATGTTTCATAGTATATAATAAATTTTTCATGCAATAATTTTCTTTATACATGTATACAAATTAAGTTTGTCTCTTTAGCTCTGACGAAGTTAATAAATATCTAAGAAGTTACCATTACATATTTTTTCTTAGACTCCTCGCTCAGTCTGCAGTGACAGTTGCAATCCTGGATTTAGAAAAAGCCCTCATGAGGGAAAGGCTGCCTGCTGTTTTGATTGCACTCCTTGTGCAGACAATGAGATCACCAATGACACAGGTAGAGACTGGAGACAGAGTGTCGCTCTTTGATATATTCACTACATCTATGCGCAAAATGGTAATAGCGGTGTAGAGGACAAAAAAGTTCAAAACTTTTCCTTTAGTAGTCAAAGTACTCGTTACACTGAGTGCTATTGCCTTTTGGAAATTGTATTGCACCTTTTGAAATGCATTCTAATTAATTTTTCTTTCATGCCATTCTTATTGTTTTCTGCATTGCTAGGAATTGAACCAAAATGTGATCTATAAATGAACTATTTCCCGCCATCTTTTTTTTTTCATTGAAAAACCCCAGAATATCATCAATTTTTCCAAGAATGCCTCAGAAAACAATCGACATGTCTCAGCCATTATGTCTCTAGGATAAGAGTTATGCACCACGACATCTGACTACACTGATTTAATTTGTAGTCCCATTTAAAAATCATTTGCTTAAGACTAGCCCTTTCCTCTGCCCCACAGCTTCCAAGTTCCATCTCCATTATGAAGTTTAATAGGTGGTAGTATTAACAGAAATTCTTTACAATTTTTAGAATTACAGCAAGATTAGAGTCAAGACAAAGTCACACACACTTCATTTTCCAGGGGCTGACGTTTATCTTCACACAGAGCAGATGCTCAGAGAGACTGAATTGACTGATTGCTGTTAGGAGCATGTTTTTGATTTACAACATGCTTATAGCACTGCACAGTCTAATTCCTAAGATTTAATCCCTGTTCTTCTAGAATGCATAGGAAAAAATGCCAATGGCATGAATTAGCATCTTTACCACAGAACTTCAAGGCTAATATGCATACAGAATAAGGAATTTAACAAGTAATAATATCTACATTCTATGAGGGTATCATTGGCATTTTACAGAAGTGATGGCATTAGTACTAAATCAGAATGAAAAGAAGACATAAATCCTTTTAGGATTTCTATAAATGGCCAAAATGGCCCATTCCCCACTCAAGGAACATTCGAGTATTGTAAAGAAAAAATACCATGCTATTAAAACACAGATAAAATGAGGGAAAGGATTGAAATAAATTTCATAGAATTTACAGAAATCTAGTATTGAAGATTGTTGTATACCATAAGTGACAATGTAGATAAACATCATTCTTATAAATTATGACGTGGTGGAATCATCTTCCTACTGAATATTTTCTAATTTGGTTTTAAACATGATGTAAGTTTTGATTTCAAAACATAATTGGTATGATTTCAAATGCTGTCTCTAATACATGAAGCATATTTATACACTGTATCATGCACTTAATTTAAATATCCATTCTCCATAAAGCATGGAAACATGGCATTTTAAAGAATTTGTGTGCATTCACGGAGAGAACAATGCACAACATATCAGCCCATACATGACGCTGGTTGTATAGTTCTCAACCATATGTAGTGTATAGAATCAATCAAAATATAAATTTAAGGTTGTACACAATTGAAAATCTTGAGAGTTGAAGATTGTGGGAACAATATGAATTCTGTGTTATTTATACTTTTGTGCTTTTTCCTATTTATACAAAAAGATGAAATTCTACATTTGAAGTATTTATAAAACACAGTAGAAAATGTAGAGCAAAAATTCAGCACAAGAAAAATGAAGGATTGGATGTAGTCCAAAAGGAATTGTTAAAATATCGAGAAAGAAAACAAACACAATGAAATGTGATTCTGGTAACAAAAATGTGACATCTGAGTACAATTACTCAAGAAGAAAGAGAAAAATTCAAAGGTACTAAAAGGTCAGGAGAAATTTTTCCATTAGTATAGTTATGTAGAAAATTTTCATATGGAAGTATAAGGAATTTCACATCAATCTATGCCTTGAAATCTACAAAATCACAGGGAAATTCAGCAAAACAGTACTAAAAATATAAAAATCTCCACAGTATTAGTATCTCTATAACACCATCTATGTTAACATATGTAAGCCGTTAGTGTAATATTTCACTCTAAAGTTTTGTTGATTAATAATATGAGCAGTGAAATATATAAGCATTCAAAAACTATTGATATTGAATTCTTTCCTAGGAAAGAAAACGTGGAAAATGAATTTCTTAAAGGCAGGAACTAAACTATTACTAGTACCTAAAATTGTACTTAGCAGAAACAAAGCTCACCTTCCACTTTCTTTTTCAAACTAAATTCACATGCTCTATTTCAAATTCATATA